CCGAATGTCCGCGGAGCGGCGTTAGTGGCGACTACATGGTCAATGATTTCGATGCCATCACTTTCAGAACTATCCACGAACCTTCAGTGTTTTTTACGGATACGATTGGCTTTGGCTTGGGTTTTGACGCAACCGGCGGGTCCTCCGTTGCATTGTCAATCACCGCCTCAGCCCGGTTTGTACCGGAGGGTGGGACAATGGCGATGGGCTTGAGGAAGCAATAAACTTGAGAGCCTTCCGGGTACAAAGGATGTTTCTCAATGCGGCGATCATCCATAATATGTTGCCCCATATGGGGATACTTATACAGGATTGGTGAGTCACCTGGGTCCAAATGCGACTGCAACTCCATCGCCGCCGATAGCAACAATGGCGAAATCATGCTCGCTGATCGTCCATGTTGTTCAAACACCGGCTGACTGGTGTTGATTCAGCCCCAGTCCATTGTTCATCATGGCATACTCACCAAATTTTTTGCGATTTCCATGGCCATCGTGAAATGGCCAGCGGGGCCATTCTTCAACTGCATAGCTTGAGCCACCAGTTGTTGCACTCGAGCAGTAGCATCTTCAAGTGCTTTGTTGGAAACCGTTGTGGATGGCATCATATGTGGGCGGAAACAAAGGTAAAAGTCCACAAGATTAATTCTGACAATATATGTGAGAGTGGACCAATTGAAATTTGAAGTCCACATAGATCGGCTCGGGACCCGGTGCCATGAGGCCGGAGAAGCACTGCGATGGATAACGTGCCTGATTTCTCACAGGCAAACATCCATTGTTGTGTGGCCCACATTTAAACCCCGCCGTGGACCAAACCACAGTCGTGTGATATTTAATGCCAGCATCCAGAGGTCGCCATCTCCCTTCCATTTAACACTGATTGGTACCATCGACTACCATGGCTCATTTAAACGACCGCCGCGTCCATTTCGATATCCCGATGGACGACGAGTCTGAATCTCAAGCGCCGTCATCTAACGCCGGCGACACTTCAAGCAGTAAGTCTCATTTCATGCCCAGATCAAAGCTTACTTTATGATTTCTTTCAGTGATGTATTTTGGGTTTGGGGCTCCCCCTGTGCATTCCCAAGTTAACACAGCGGATACGGTGTCGGCACTGCCATATCAGCTCAACTTCGGTTTGAACCTCAACCCACACCGCCGGACCAACCGGCCTTTAACTTCGGGTTTGACACTAACCTCAATGTTTCACTCTCACCTCGGCCAGCAGCTGCACAGGCTGACACTGCGACGGTGCCGCCAGGGCCGCCGTCCAGGTTTAACTTTGGGTTTGAACCTCGGGAACTGCACCCCGCCAATCCTCCAACCGGCATTCAACTTTGGGTTTGACGCCGGCATAGAGGCGTCACCCACACCGCCTCCAGTAGCTCGGCCAATATTGGACTTCGGCTGGAACACACCAGTTGCGACAAATGATCCGGTCACACCGGTTACGACACCATTCAATTTTGGAATGGACTTAGATGTCACTCCGCAATGGTCAGCGACACCAACTGTCATCCCCACTCCTCCTCCGCCTCCAACACCAAAGCCAGCCTTCGACTTTGGTTGGAATCTATCGCCGACACCTGCGCCGGGTCCACCACTTCATGTGGGATATGATCTCTCCAATACACGTAAGTCGGTCCTACACACCATCTTGTGTTTATTTATATTGACATGTATTCACAGCATTTCCGTTCAATTGTCAAGCTCCTCCGGCTAAAGTGGGAGATTGGCAACCTCTTCCGGTTAGGGCGGCCGGACCAGCAGCCACGCCGCCCGCTCCCACTCGGATGGACGTGGCGTACACACCGAAGGGCCTACCAAATGTGGAGTTCGCGTTTCCAAAGAAATGCACGCCGAGCAATTCCGCTGAATCATCCGAACCTCGGCCTTCCCTTTTGAGCATGGTCGGCGATGCCGAGAAGGCAGCGAATCAACATAGTCAAACACCTTGGAGGAGATGAATGTAAGAATCACTTCTTGGTCCGGTACAACTCTACTGACTATTCCTAGTTGATAAGCTTGCGCAGTTAATGCTTGGCAGCATAGTCAACCCCGGCGATGATGTCCGGCCTCCTAAGCCCGATGAAGTCCTGGACAGCAACCGGGTCATCATGTCAGCGTTCTGTGAGAGCAGAGATAAATTGACCCGGATTTTCAAAGATTTGATCCACTTGCATCACATGGCGGCGGTGCAGGCCAGAGTTGTTCCATTGGTGGACTCTCTGTCCAAAGAGGTGCAGAAGGCAGAGGGAAAGTCTGCCGGTAGTGACTAGTTTACACAATACATATACCAATCACTTGTACATAGGTTTGCAGCTTCATTTGTTGTATATGCATGAGACCGGTGTTGCACCGGTCATAAAGTGAATTGATTGTTGGTATTCTACTGATATGTGATTGTATGATTACTTCTTGCCGCGTGTACCCAAAGATGACTCCGGCGCAAATGTCCTGCTTCTGGTTCTCTTCGCCGGCATATCACTAACAGCGTCAGGAGCACGGCGCTTTGACCCCCTGGGCTTTTCATCGGCGGCATATGTCACCTCCTTGCCTCTTGTGATAGCACCCAAGGATGTGGATGGCTGCTTTACGGCCTTCTTCTGAGTCCTCGCAGGCTCCTTGGTATTGCTGACCGCGGCAATCACAGGTTTTGCCACATCGCCGACGGCTGCTGACATCTGCCGTGCACTTCGCCGTTGGGGAGCAGGGTCAGATTTCATCTTGCGAGGCTTGGGCTTGTTCACCGGGAGAGTCGCCTGCCGCGGTGGCGTGACATCTTTCCTTCGGGAAGTGAAAAGTGGCCCGTCATCTTCACTTGATGAGCCATCATTATCGCTATCTAACTCATCCTCCGAAATGCTATCCTTGATGGCCCGGCGAGCCTTTTGTTGTCTCCGATGGGCATGGTTTGCATTGCTGCCGGCGTGCAGGGGTGCTGGGAACACAACGGCCTCACAGATGTCTCCATCAGAATCTTGCCATGCCGTGAATGAAAAGGCCGGTTGAATGTTTTTCCTTGCCGGGCGAACAAGAATTGTAGCAAAGTACTTGCATCTGATATGTCCATCTTGGAGGGTTCCTTGAACTGCACACCGGCGGGCCATTGTGTACTGTCGAAGAACGCCGATGGGTCCTGGCTTACATCTCCCCAGGGCACCGCTGACTTGAGGGTGTCTTCACCCCCACACATCCCTATGCTTTGTGTAAATCATTTCTAACGTTAAATAAAAAGTACATACTGTATAGCTTCGTGAGGAAAGATCGAATCATGTGTTGTTGCTCGGCACGATTCCATCCATTGTATCCGGGAGCATCGGCCAACCTTCGGCATCTTCTTCGAGCTCAACAAGCTTCCTGGGCTGCCGCTTCTTTGACTTCACCATCAGGGGCTCTTCCCCATCTTCTGCATCTACACCTACATTAGTATGTTTGGTCCGGCACAAATAATTTGCATCTCACCGAATTGCTCCCCAGCATATTCCCCCCATTCCGGCATAAAAATGCCGTCCCAATCCCTTGTTTTAATGAAGCTCTCGCCGTTCCCAAACTGTTCATTGAAGTCATGACTTCCACACAGTTAATGTTGAACGTAGCATATGTATGAGATGACACACCCTCCTAACATGAGCTTCCCTTTGCTGTTGTTCCATGCAGACAGCACACAAACCCTCATTCCAGCTTGCTTGAACATTTTGGTGGCGAAATGCTCAATCATCTCGGCGCCCTTGCTCTCGGCGACCTCGGCTTGAACCTCTGGCGGCGCCGCTTGATTGTTCCATTTCTCCGCCGTGGCTTGCACCTGTTCCCTCTCCTCCGCCGACAACCTATCAATCACTGACTTCGCCTGCCTTTGGCCACTTGCTGATCATCTCCTCACTTCCAGCCATCTCCCCGGTCTCCTCTCGGATGAGGTCTTTATGAGTCTGGATCAGGACTTGCCTCGCCGTCCAACGTCTGCCATACTTGATGAGGGGCTTGGGATTTTTTTTTCCGCCGAGATTGGTTTTGCAACCATTGCTTGTAAATCTTCCATCAACATTCGATCAATGCTCTCATCATTCCAATAAGTGTAAATTGTCACAAACTTTTTTCCGAGCTTTCAATATGGCTCGGTCCTTGGTAGGAGCTTGCAGTGATGCTTCCTTGTAGATGGCGACGAGCACCCTTGATCTTTCTTTCCCTATCACTGACCTCCAGTCCTCCAGATGGTCCCTGAGGACCACAACCTCTGCCTTGTCCAAGTGAACCTTCGTCTGCTGTGAGAGGACTGTAGGAGATTGAGTTCTTGGCATGTTGGGTTATGGATGATAGTGATTCTGAATGGTTCAAGAATCGGAAATACTGTAGTTGGTTGATATGGGGCAGTAAGGTTTGGTTCCTTGGCCGAGATTGCACAGGGTTTCTCTGTTCTGCTCGGTTCATCATATATTACAGTTCATATTGGGCACTTGTCATATATATCATTGTTATGTTCAGTCAAGATGAAGTGGTGTTCCTTGTATCACAGCTAATATTATGTAATTCTGATGGATATGGTTGCTTTGTTCTCTTCGGATCATCTTATATTACATTCTAGGTCTTAATATTATGTACTCCTATCTGATATGATCCGAGTATGATCAAATTAACCCAAGAATCATGTTCCATCGGCCAATTGAAACCTCTTGCCCTTCTTGCAGATTCTCATTGCAGTGAACAAATGAAAGGTTCCAGACTCCAAGAGTGGACACCCAAACGAAAGTATGCAGTGGTAGAATGGCAGAAATCATATTGGACCAGGAAGGTGGTGGGCAAATGGGTGGAGAGACCCATGATCAGCCAATCAGTTCCAGCAACCCCTACCAAGTCTGCCTCTAAGCAGCTGTCTCATGACATGCTTCACCATGGTGGAGATGACTTTCTTGGGGGACTTGATGATCACCGGGTCATTCCACTGCACCTGCCAAAATCCCTGGTGAGCCTTTCCTCACCCTTACCTTTTACACTCTGCTTATCTGAACTCAAGAGTCAAAACGACTATATAAGACAATGGGTCCCGAAGACAAAAGCATATCTTGACATACTGCTGGAAAGGGAGGTTCCATCAGATCGGTCATGTATCATATGTGGGACAGATGGTGTCTACAAATGTCATGGGTGCTTCGGTGAGCCTCTCTATTGCACAAGTTGTTGCAGAACCCAGCACCAGAGACTTCCCTTCCATCGAGTCAGCCAATGGACAGGCTCCTTCTTTGAGGAAAGTTGCTTGGTCAAGAGTGGGATCGTGATCTGGCTTGGCCATAATGGAAACCCATGTCCATGGGACGATGATGTGGGGGAATCTAGTGTATTTACTACAGGGGAAGAGGAAGCCAACACTACAGACATAGAGAGTTCAGAAGACAAAGACGGCGGCGACCCGAGTTCAAAGTGCGCTGATGACCTTCCGACCGGTGTGCCATTTGTCAAGGGTAACAGCACATTAACAACAATAGTTGACAAGTCCGGCATGCATACACACCTGGTGAAGTATTGCACATGCCCAAACGCCGCCGCCGATATACAAATGTTTCAAATGGGCTTATTCCTGGCGTCTTTCTTGAAACTGAAGACAGCATTTACTTTCAACGTCCTAAATGACTTCTTGCTAGACAACCTGGAGTGCGGGACTTCGGCGATGAATTACTACAGCAAATTGAGAAGGATGACAATGACCGTCTTTCCGCATTTAGTGCCGGTGAGTGTGTTCATCTCTCGCTGGGCCAATCACTTATTGGGTGAAAGGACTGGTACTGGGAGCTGATGAGGGTGGCAAGACAATGGAGAAAACTTAAGCTTCTCAAAAGGAACGGATTCGGCCATGAGGAAAAGGACGTCAGACCCGGAGATCTAGCCCTCTTTTGTCTGGTGTGTCCCCAGCCAGGCATTAATGTCACTTTGCCTGTCGGAGAACAAACGGAAAGTTCTCATGTGAACGAAGGATCAAATTTACAGACTCCAAGTTGGCTGTACACAAGGTCGCTCGTCATGGACGGAAACTTCAAAGCCGAGCATCTCCATCCGGTACATCCCGGTGATGAAGTCTCTCTCATGGACGGCCGTGGGTTTATGGTAGGAGACGCCTTGTACAAGGAGCATTTAGCTGTTGCACAGGACACTATTCAACGATCGGAATGCAACAACCACCGCGCGGTGAATCAGGCAAATGCATCCCATCATAAATTGGAAGCAACAGGCATCGGCGGTTGCGCCTGTGCATGGCATGGCTGTTTTGTGCCACACGCCATGGTCAATTTTCAGAAGGGAGAAAGGTGTGTCAATATCTCAGTGAATAAATGCCGTTGCTGAAGTCATGCAGACAGATGAACATGGATTATGCATTATGCGAGGCGTTAAAAATGAACGCCGATGGAATCCGCCGTGCCCTGACATTTTATGATGTAAACTGTCAGTACCACAAGCGTTTGAAGGACCGCATCGCCGAGAGTCCAATCTTACAGATACCTAAGGAACTGGATATTATCCCTGGGATTGGACTGTGGCATGTGCATGGGCATCAAGAAAGTTGCTATGTCAGATATGCATCAAATATCATTGAGGGCGCCACTCGGATTGATGGCGAAATCATGGAGACTCTATGGGCACCGTTAAATATTATTTTGCCGGCTGCTCGCGGCATGGGAACTCCGCACCGGAAGGAATGCTTGGACTATCAAATGAATGATTGCAACTTCATGAAAATGATCAGAATGAGTGAGTCCTCTGTCCAGTCATGTTTGACAATTTTTAATATGCCATACAGGCAAGTCCCTTTGCAAGAAGTACAATCAGGCGGTCAGGGGGGCCGCTGACAGCTGACTGGCATTTGAAAAGCTTGCTGAAACTGCCAATCCAGGGAAAGTTCGAGAATGGGAAAGCCAAGAAAGGTTGGTGCACCAACGCTGTCGCCGTGATCCAACAGCCATGGATATTTATGAAGTACAATTGCAGAAAGGTCAGTGTGAAGGATGTACAGGAGGGCTAGTCTGATTCAACTAAAGTGCTGACGAGAAAGCAGCAGGAAATACAATTATTAGCAGAACAAGGACGGGGCCCAGGGCCTATCCGGCGACGAGGGGCAGCGACATGGCTCGCAGAGGGTTTAACAATTGAGGAGGCCCAGGTCACACTACAATTGGAAATCAAGAAAGTTGGTGGTCAACCGACCAACACACAGCGGTTATATATTGCCCACCACCGGGACATCTTACAACGGGATATTGATTGATGGAGAGAGGCCGGGGTTGTGTTCCTCGGCGACAGGCCCGGCAATGATGAGGATCATGCCATGGAACTAGATCTCCTCATCCTCGATGAAGAATCGGATGCAGAAATGGACGATCAGTGAAATGTCTTTAAGCCAGAGAAGGCAGTCATTCCCCTGCCGTCCAATTTGGGGCAGGATACATGTACTGCTATCGGCATCAATGATTTGGCAAAACAAGAACTTATCCTCCGGCAAGGCCAGGCCAATGATGCCTTGCACAACATCAGGGTTTATTTGGCGGACAAAGTGGTCATTTTTCGGAAGACGGTAAGGGTTGCCAAATCTCAAGCAACGGCCACCTGAGCTTGGGCTCAGGTGCACTCGGTTGATAGGGCGGTCAGCATCCAAGCCAGTATCTATTTGAAGTGCCGCAAACAACTTTGCAGCCTCGGCGCCGATGATGCTTTACTATGGCGATATCAGCCCCTAGCCAAGGAGCATCTCAAGGTTAGTACCGCCGTTGCCAATCCAAACTCACGAGGACAGCGAAATAATACGCTGCCGTGGTTTTGGTCATTGGATGTTGCAGGAGGTTCCGAGAGTAATGATTGGTTGGATGAATGTAAGCAATTCCCATCGGCGCCATGTCGGTTCTCCTGATCTCACCGATGTGCCAGTTTACCGGGTACATTGGCTCCGGGCAAAGGCTCTAAAAGACTGTTGGGCGGAGGAGATTTTACTTGTTCAGCATGAAATGGATTGGACTTGCAATTTTTTTTGTTACAAGGCGGAGGAATGGAAACGTCTCGGCGTCGTTGTGAAGGAAGCCAAAAAAGAAGCTCACATGGCTTATGCGGGTAGGCAGGGGAAAATCTATGAATGTCTCTTGGAGGAGGCTAAATGGGCATTTCACCCGACAAAAGTTTAGACAAGAGCATCAGTGAGGAGCGGAATAGCTGATCACATTGTAGTCAAATGAGATTCACACCGATGTGTTATGTTCAAATACCTCGGTGTGATGATAAATCATCTGGCGCCGGAACATGTCAGTGTAATTGGTGGGGAACATGCAGTAAATTAGACGTCAGGATATTTATGTACAGCTATATTACAAGGTAACACTAATGGCGGTCGCCCCTGACCCACCGCTCATTGCGCCGCCTTCCTTTTCAAATACTTTGTCAATTTTTTGGTGGCAGCGATGGCCTTAACTATGTCCTGCCCCAGTGCGGTGTCCATCCGAAGCATTGTGGCCGCCACCATTTTGGCCTCGACCACCTTATCTTCCAGCATTTTCACGATCAGTTGGCCTTTGTGAAGCACCTTGGCGTGGATATTGGACAGTTGCTCGGCAACCGGCGTGCACATTGGGATGGTCAATGTGGCTGGGGTAATTAGAACTTTCCCCTCAGGCTAAGGCCGGTGTTAGTGAACTTCTCAAATTGTGTGGATAGAACCTTACCAATTGCTTGAAATGCTCGGCGATGATTTGCTGAACCTGCACACAGTTTGGGTATGTGTGGAGAAAGTTGTCGTCAGCTATGATGTTGGCTGTGTTCATCCACCAGGGTGTCCAATAAGTCCTGGCGAGGCGGCCCTTTTGCCATGGTCCAGCCGGCGCTGCCGGCAAGGTCATTAAGGCATTGTAGATCTCCTCAAAATTGGTGACCAGGCCGGCCTGCTTCATAGATAGCACACCGACAAAGAACCAGAGGTTCCGAGACAGCGGCGGGCTAATTGAGAGCCCGGCACAGAAGGACATCCAAGGCAATGTAAAGGACTTGAAGATTCATTAGCTCAGCGGGCAGCCGACAAGGCAAATACTTACCTCTCCTTCCCAGTTCAGGTACTGGCCTATGATCCGGTGGGTCTTTATTGGCAAGGTGTGCCGGGTACTCTCTAGCTCAGTCTGAATTGCCGATAAGCGGGAGGTAGCATACTCAAATATGGCAGCGATATCGGCCAAGTCCAAGTCCATTTCATCGGACATCGATTCTGCCGAGAGAGTGGCGATGGTAGGTTTGGACATGATGCAATTGTAGTCCAAACATGTCATGGCAGAGCCTTTAAATAAATTGACACAATCGGAACTTCAATTACATAATGATGTGGTTTTGGGGATTGAATTTTATTGTGTCATTCGGCGGGTGTCACCGATGTCCAAGCTTGTCCCTTGTGGACCAGTGGATCGACCTTTAATTAGCCAGATCAGTCAACATCCGGCCAAAACAATGTGTGCCGTTGTATCACAGCTGTGGATGTGTGAATTGTGGAGCGTCTTGGATGCAGTGGTCCTGTTCGGTAAATGCCGTCGCACAATGAATGTATAACATAATCCACTGCCACCGTGGTCACAGCGGAGTTAGATATATATAGTTGCCACTTTTCGCTGTTCCTCATTCCAAACTTAAACCAACACCATGTCCTCCTTGAATGCAAACATCGCCACTGCTAACAAGGCCTTCAGCGATGCCGCTGACAAGATTGAGCACCTTCTGGGCCAAGCTTGGCAATTAGATGCCGGCAATCCTGAACATCTCACTATAGTGATGGAGATGGGCAGGGCTTTGGTAAGTTCTGCTTCAACACACTAACATTACCTAATCTTTTGCAGACCCAGGCAATGATGTCTCATGGCAGGAGTGTTACCATCCTCTCGCCGCTAATTTTGTCGGCTGCTGCAGAACTGCAGCAGCACATGAATGCATCCAGGACCGGTCTCACCGGCACACCCGCTTGGGGAAACATTCGAGGTGACGATATCCGCATCAAAACTCACCCTTTGTTCCCTTCCATCAGGAACTACCGGCGGAGCCCTTCGGCCTCAGCTTCTCCACCACGCCTGGGCCCATCTCAGCTCAGGAAGCAGCTTGCGATGGAGGAGCCTGAGGAATGCGGGTGAGGCATTGAGCGCAGGAAATGTCCCCGTGCCTCAAGTGCTCGGAGCCGCAGCCGCCCAGCCATGTCCAAGCGGCAGCAGCAGAAGTCAAAGGCCATCATTACCAGTGACGATGAACTTGAAGAAGAGGAACCAGCGAGTCCGGTTATCACAGTAAGCTCATTACTCATTGTAGTACCTCTTATCTGACATCCTGCCCAGACCAATAAAAAGGCATGCTGTGCCTATGTCGAAGTGGACACCGAAGAATAAACGGAAGATGATGGCGATGAGGAAGACGCTGTGGAGCTGCCGAGGAAGATCACCGCCGCACCTGTTGCCAAGCCGGTAAGTAACCATACTTTTGCATTGCTTCTTTGAAACTGACATCCCAAAGATGACTTCAGGTCCAGATCTCATGGAGGATGAGTTTGCCAATTTGACGGCAGAAGTTTGGGCTCTCCGCTGCGGTCAATGCGTCGTAAGGGATCTGATTTGCCGACAGGCCTATCACAAGGACCACGGCAGAAAGTTGCGCGTGTGTGCGCTTTGCAGCCGCCTGAAGATTTGATGCGGAGGCAAGGGCTCCGAGGCGCCGAAAATGAAGCCGAAGTCGGTGATGGCACGGTGCACATGCTCCCAATCTTGGCGCCATTGCTCGCCACCACCTGGTACATCTCATTTTTTACAAGTCACTCATAACTAAATAGAATATCAGCCCCAGCTGCTTTTGTTGCTCCGGCAGCCAGCCAGGAGCAGCCACCTCCCCCGCAAGTTGAGATCCGGGCTGAGCCAGCCCCTCCCAGCATCCCTAATCAGGAGATGCAGGATCTCCGCGACGAGGTTGCCGGCCTTTGGGCCACCATTGAAACCTTGCTGCAGCAAGTTGCCAATGGCGACCGGCAATTTCGGGAGAGTTTGGCAGCACAGGACCGACATGCCGATCTGCTGGAAGCTGAGTTAGAAGTCCTCTGCCGACTTGTCGTGTTGGCAACCGCTCAGCCTGCTGCTGGCACTGACCCCCTCGATGTGCCGCCTGGTGAGCAAGCACCTCCGGCACTAACCACTCAGCCTCCCCCCGACACTCCAGCTGGTGATATGCAGCTGGGCACTGAACCTTCGTTGGCGCCCACTGAGGACACATCTATCCCGTTGGGCGCCACACCTGCCGGTACCTCCATCGAGGCCAATGTTGAACTGCCCACTGGTCCGGCGATGCCTCACGCTGAGATTGCTTGTTTGCCGGTAGCCATGAAGGCCACCGATGACGCCATTATGTAATATGTCATGCAGAATTATGCTTATATGTTTACCAGTACAATAGAACTCATGTATAGTTTACTTTGTTGTTTGTTACCATGGAATCTAGAATGGGCATGATGTGCTGCCGGTCAGCACTACATAGTATTTGTGATGATAATTTTTAATACTATTGATCACACGCTGGTGTCCTGCCATTGTGTCACCATTTTTTTACCAATGGCACTGATGTAATTCCAATGGTCGCCGTACACGGCAGCACCTGTTTATGCTCACATTGTGTCCGGCACCCGGCAATGATGGTATTTGGGTCCTGAAACCTTGTTCCAGCATGTCATGGACCCCGTTGTATCAACGGCGGTACATACGAGCCTGTTGGAATTTAGCGAAGTATTTGCCCAGGCTCACCCTGTTACCCACTGTCAAGACTGGGCCCATTACCACTTTGTACCATGATATGGGCCTGCCGGTGTAGTGCCTTACATGGTGTGGGCCCGACCGTACAATGAGCGCCATATAGCTGGGCCTGTGTGCACCCTCCAAGGATACAGCGGGCTTATCCTACTATTTTCTACATCTAGGGCAGGCCTGCATCCCTTTGTTCAGACCTCGAGATGGGCCCACCGTGATTGTTTGCATACTGCTGGTAGGCCCATTCACAGTGCCATACATGGCGTGGGCCCAACTGTACAAACAGCGTAATATAGCTGGGCCAGTCTGCACCCTCCCAGGTTACGGTGGGCTTATTCTACTATTTTATACTTTTAGAGCAGGCCTGCATCCCTTTGTTCAGACCTCGAGATGGGCCCATCATAATTATTTGCATACTGCCGGTAGGCCCATTTGAAGTGCCATACATGGTGTGAGCCCCGCCGCACAGATGGACTGATGTAGTCGGGCCCATCTGCATCTTCGCGCAGATACATCGGGCTCTATCCGGTATGCTGTATTTCTGGGGTAGGCCCGCATCCCTTAGTTCATCCCTCCATGTGGGCCCACTAACACTTTTTGCATACAGCCGGCAGGCCCATTCTACTAGTGCACACACTGACAGCGGGCCCATTGATGTGCTGACATCATGTGGGCCCGTTGACACACCATTGGGCCACCGCCGGGTGTGCTAAAAATTGTATTTGCTTGGCGGATAATGCTTATTCACCGAGACATGTCGCCGATAAACACGGCTATTCTAATGATTGCGCTGGATGTGCGTGCTAGTTCCATATTCCGGCGAACCCTTGCTGGCGATGTAAAGATACCCTCCCGGCGAATTATGCAGCCGGCGGAGCTTGCATGTTTTAGCCGCTGGTATGTCGGATTTGCCATATTCATATGCGGGGAGCGCATGCGCCCGCTATCATGGAAGTTATTCGGCCGGCCGAATTTGCAATTTGTATCCGCCGCTGTATCTGATGTTTGCCGACCGAGATGCCATCGGCGAATGTAATTTGGCTACATTTGAATATACGGGCCTACTCGAAAATCTCGAGAGATGGCCTTTCTACTGTACTATAGGCCCATCTGTAAATAAAGTTGTCTTCAATCTAGCCACCCCCATGGGCCCACTCCACACCTCAGAAAAACATAGGTAGGGGGCCCACTGCTATCCATTGGGCACACAGCATACAAGGGAGCCCACCCAGTGACATACCCTTACAACATATGCTGGGCCCATAGTGGGTTGGCCCTGGTGTCATGGAAGAAATGTCAAGGTGGGCTGGACATGTTCATAGGGTTAGGTCACTGAAGGGGCTCATCAGATGAGGATAGCCTTGATGACGACGACGCTGGTCATGACACTGATCCTTTGGAGGACCAGCGCGAAGCCAAACCTGAAGCCAAAGCCAAAACCGAACCTGAGGATGCCATCCAAGCCACTTTGCCAAAGACTGAATGTACCGCTGACATTCGCACTGTCTTCACCCGCCATGAAACACACTGGGTATGCAACCCTTGCAAGTATGTAATTAGAACTGCGTGTATTGTGTTCTGCTAATGTTTGGTAGGGACGCTGGTGAACCTGAGAGTAAGCATGTATTTCGAGGAGGTATCTCTACACTGTGGACACACCTCAGCTGGTATGTTCTTTCAATGTCATCTCTTACTTTTGCTGATATCTATTAGTAAAAAAAACCACTTTCAGTTCTACAAGGCTCGCTGCCAAGCGGCAGGGATTACTATGCACCCTTGAGCCATTCTGACTAGTGAGGATCCGGCTCTGTCCAGACAATCCACCCTTGATATGATCCTCATCACCAAGGTCCCTACATTTACCAAGGAAGGACTCCTGGAGTACATAATGGAACTTATTGTGACCAAAGACGAAGCGCTGCAGCTGGTTGACAAACCAGCCTTCCAAAACTTACTTCGCTATGTTCGGCCTGGCCTTACTGAGAGAGACATACCTCACTGCACCAAGCTTACTGAGACCATCAAGGCACGCACATTAGCTATAGTCGACGTCATACGCGAACATCTCACAAAGGTCGATAGTAAAGTTTCCATGACGTTTGACTCTTGGACTTTGATTATTGGTGACCCATTTTTCTCCATCACTGGCCATTACATTTGGAACCCGGATGATAAACCCCTGCAATGGGAGTTATGTCGTGAGCAGCTCAGTTTCGAGCACATTGAGGGCGATCACAGTGGGCAAAATATTGCTCATATGCTTATTCAATCAATTGATACATATGATGTCTGAGCTAAGGTAAGGTCTGGTCTCTACTATCTAATGGTAAAGCTAATGGTTTGCTTCGTGCAGGTTGGATGGATGACTTCTGACAATGCAAGCAACAATGATACGGCAATGAAGGAAGATGCTTGCAAAATTGATCCGGAAGGTGTCCGATGGATACCTGCCACACACTGCATTAGATGCCAGGAACACATCCTGAACCTCATGGCACAACACTTTGTAGACGCGGTGATGAAGAAGACCCATCAGGCGCTTGATAAGGGAGATGATGCTGAACTCGACATCTTAAACAAGGAGCTTGCAACCTTGGGAGTTAACGGTGACGGTGACCACGAAGATGAGTTTAACACTGGTGATTCGCTTGGCAAAGCGCTTGCATTTATAGAGCAGGTACATTATTAACCTTAAGATTCTTAGATACAAAAATCACCTCAAGCTCGTGCCTTCTTCAAGAAGGCCTGCAAAGAGGAGAACATACCCGAGCTTGAGTTATTGCAGTGGATCAGAACTTGTTGGGCTCCCTTATACAAATGTCTTGACCGCATGCTACTCTTACGTTGGGTACATTTTTTTTCTATTCAGTGTTCGTGAATCTGACATTTATATTTTAACCAGGCCGTCAACCATTTCACCAATCTCGCTGACAAAAGCAAAGAGGTGCCGAATCTTCGCAACAAGTCTTATGATGATTTCAAGCTCAGCTGGAGTGACTGGAGACACCTTGGACTCATTCATCAAGTCCTGAAGGAGCCGGCTACCACCCAGCAAACTTTCTCCTCCGTGAAACACCCTACTGTGTGGCAAATGATACCTACATTGGAGTGCCTGGTTGACCAGTGGCAAGAGATGGCCAACAATATACAGTATGCGCCGATTGCCAATGCCATCAAGCAAGGACTCAAGAACATCAACAAATACTACAAGAAAACAAGCGACTCGGATGTATATTTTATTTGTCTCGGTGAGCATTCATAAAAACTTCACTTTCCTCCCATCTTCCTCCCCCATCATACCTATTCACTGCCTCGTATGAAAAACTTCACTTCCCTCCCATCTTTCCCTCCTATTGTACCTACTACCTCCCTCCCTCTTCACCGCCTCGTATGAAAAACTTCACTTCCCTACCATCTTTACCTATCTCCCGCCTCATATGAAAAACTTCACTTCCCTCCCATCTTTCCCTCCTATTGTACCTACTACCTCCTTCCCTCTTCACCGCCTCATATGAAAAACGTCACTTCCCTCCCATCTTTCTGTGCCTGCCTCTGATATACTGATATAACTACAGTCCTTGACCCCAACTATAAGCTTGCTTATGTTGAAGAACGGTGGGACAGTCAAGACATTGCGGATGGGAGGGCTCACCTCGAGACTGTTGTAAGTATTTGTTCAGACTCATCATTGTACTTCGGCTTACATTCTTCTACAGTTTGACGAGTACTGTAAACCACCAACTCAGACACCTGTCGATGAACCTGCTCCGCCAACAAGACCCTCGCTGGAAAACCGGTACGGCGATGCATGGATTTGCGAGGCCATTAAGGCACGTCAAGCTGCAGACCAACTTGCTCACAATCCTCATCAAGAACTCACTGCATATCTGTCTTCACCACTAGAGGAAGCCAACAATATTGTTGCCTGGTGGGGGCTTCATTCTTTACAATTTCCTACACTAGCACATATTGCATGCAATCATTTGCCCATCCAGGGCATCTCCGTCCCCTCCGAACAGGCTTTCTCAAGTGGAGGGATCACCTCCACCGTGTGACGCAATGCGCTCGCATCATCCACGTTTGGCTCGTTACAGTTGTTAAAGGCGGTGTATAGGAATGGCCATGTTTCCGCGACAGTCGAGGCAGAAGCTGTGTAGTTGGATGTGTAGCTATGAGTACCTACCTATGTTTTTTTTTTGCTCATTTTAAATAAATTTGGTTCAGTTCACGTTTGAACCTGAAGTTAACCGTACCTGACCATTCTGAACCGTTCGCCAAGGTCCAATTCGAGGTTCATTGAGTCTGGTTCTCGGTTCTCGTCAAACTGCCTCTGAACCGGACTGAACTGGACCACGGCAGCACTAGCGGTGAGGAGGGATTTGGGGAGTTCATTAGGTGCACTACTGTTTCCTCTGGCTGCCATCTTCGCTTGCTCATCAGCTGCTTCATTGCCTGGAATTCCGTCGTGGCCTGGGGTCCATTGTATGGTCAACTTGCATTCATCGTGCGCAGGTATGAGCTTGCACAGGTCGTCATGGAATTTATCCATAAGGTAATGACTGGGTTTGGAGACGAAGGCCTTGGTTGCCCAGATGGCGGCTTGGTTGTCAATGCTGAGGGCCATAGATCCTTCTCCCCCTTCTTCTTTCAACAGCTCTATTGCCAGGATCATCCCTACTAACTCTCCCTCGTAGACCGTATGCTCCTGGTCTCCTCCTAAGTAGAACTTTTTCGTTCCTACTACTTCGCCATTCCTCATCAATACTGCCACTCCTCCTACTCCTCCATCTATTGCCGAGCCATCAGAATATGCTTGGAGGTCTTCGTCTGCACCTTCATTGTCGTTGATGGCTGTGGCTGCATCTGCTGCCATCTCTGTTGAGACGTCCGGGGTCCACTTGAGGTAGTGTCGTATTGGCTCAATTGTTTCTACTGTGTGCGGGTTGAGTCGAAATTCGTTGAGTAGGCGGTGTATGGGCGACGGGTGTCTCTTGCAGCGTCCGAAGTCTCTTCTGGTACAGGCATTGTATGCTATGCAGATGCCCTTGTAAAGAGGGTGTGACTTATGCATCGTGATCATTCGTAAAGCGGCTCTGTGGCACACTTTGCGTAATAGCTGTTGGAAAGGGAGTATGTCAGCATGTGCGTCTAAGAGATCAGTAGCAGAAGTTCTCATTCCCCCTGTTATCATAGTGGTTGCCATCCGCTGAACTCTGGCCATCTTCGATGCAAAGCCTCTCGCTCCTCGGCCGGTGTTCTTCTTCCCCCTTCCTTTTGCAACAAGTCTGGAACACCAGATGTCTGCCGCATAGAGCATCTTGGGGATGACTACTCCTTTGTACAGTTTCTTGAGTAGTCAGCCATGGACACCTTTCATAGCTCGAGTCATGCATTGGCATGCCATTGTGTACCGAGTTCCTTTTTCTAAGGTGTAGGTTGCATGTGCTTTAAAGGTCAGTTCATCATCGACTATGACTCCAAGAAATTTGTGTGATCTTGATGGTTGAATGATGTGGTCATGGATGGAGATACGTAGGTGGGGGACTGGGATGGTCTTTCCGCTGACATGCACAAAACATGTTTTGTACATGAACATGGCAAATATTGAGCTTGTAATACCCTTCATAATGAGCCTATGGTTATGCCTAGAATTTTCTTTGTAGCACTCATAATTTATTTGAGTATTTTCGGGCTCAAAATGAGTGCAACACTACTTAACATTCAAAAATAATACTTATACTTCTGAAAGATGGGTTTCGAACTTACAATTCTTCACTTAGTAAGCAATTTCTCACACCCCCTATAATTTTCTCACACATTTTCACATGTTCTGAAACATACTCTGTGACATATCCTGACATACATATTACATAATTGGTATGTTTTGTGTCACATCTTGAACATGTCAGGATATCTGGCGAAATTTACGATTAGCTAATGTAAATTCTGTAAAAGGGATTCGTCTCAGATTCGTTGGAAAAAAAAAGGGAATCCCACGTCACGTGACATATGGTTGGGATTTCACATTGTCCTGCCGCATGCATACCCTTACGTGATTTTTCATCCTAGGACGAAAAATTACGGCATGTGCATCGAAAGTCTGAAGTACATAGTGTAGAACATTAAATTACTAGTAATAGAAAATTGCCAGCATTAAAGTATCAATGCAAATCATGCACAGACCAAGCAGACTCCTCAAGTTCTGCAGTCAAATCACCATCCGGCAGACGAAGCAGACTCCTCAGGTATTAATATATATATATACTATATATATATAGAGTACATGTCGAGATATAAAACATCCACCAGGCACCTAATCATGGAAGCAAAAAAATTCACAATGTTGGCGGGTGCATCCACACCCAGCTGGGAGCCTGCCCGAAAGTCTGAGATTTACAAAATTTACAAAATTTACAGTGTATTTCTCCTTCTCCTGCACTTTACTCACTTTACCCACTCAAAATCGCACTTTACAGTACTTTACATGTAATATATCCCTACCCTCCTCCTCTCCCTCCGACTCATCCTACACAGCTACCATAAATGGGTGGCTTAGGTGTCACAATCACGTGACTTCACCTTCCTCCACTGTGCAACTCTTTAGCCCCTGCCATGCACAATACCACAGGTGAACGCCTCCAACAACATCAACACCTCTCCTGGAGAAGGTGCTTTTTTATTTTTTATTTATTTATTCATTTGTGGTTCTCACTTGTACTTTACAGGGCCTCAGGACTTTATGCCAACAACAAACAGTTGATTGGTGATGCTGCCCAGAACCAGGCCACTATGAGCCCCCACAATGTGTAAGTTTAACCTCTTTTTCCATTTCTTGCGCTAACCATACCTTGGTAGTATTTTTGATGCCAAGGTCCAGTTGGACATCAAGCACTTCCCCTTCACTGTTTTCACCAAGGCTGGTAAGCCTCGCGTCCGAGTGGAGCAGGAGTTTTCTCCCCAGGAAATCTTGTCGATGGTTCTTCTTAAGATGAAGGAGACCACTGAGCCCTACCTGGGCTACAATATCAGCGACACCATCGTCACCATCCCTGCCTACTTTGACGACTCTCAGAGACAGGCTACAAAAGACGCTGGTACCATCTCTGGAATGAACACTCTTCGTACCAGTGATGCCGCCCAGAACCAGGCCACTATGAGCCCCCACAAAATGTAAGTTTTGACCTCTTTCATTTCTTACGCTAACTCATCTTGGTAGTATTTCTGATGCTGAGGTCCAGCCAGACATCAAGCACTTCCCCTTCACTGTTTTCAACAAGGCTGGTAAGCCTTACATCCGATTGGAGCAGAAGGAGTTTTCTCCCAAGGAAATCTTGTCGATGGTTCTTCTTAAGATGAAGGAGACCGCTGAGTCCTACTTGGGCTACAATATCGACGACACTGTCATCACCGTCCCTGCCTACTTTAACGACTCCCAGAGACAGGCTACAAAGGACGCTGGTACTATCTCTGGAATGAATGTTCTTTGTATCATCAACAAGCCCACTGCTGCTGCCATTGCATACAGTCTCGACAAAAAGGTTGTCGGTGAGCGCAATGTCCTCATCTTCGATCTTGGAGGAGGAACCTTTGATGTGTCGCTCTTGACCATCGAGGAGGGTATATTCGAGGTGAAGGCCACTGCTGGTGACACTCACTTGGGTGGTGAGGACTTTGGCAACCAACTCATCAACCACTTCGCACAAGGGTTCAAGCGCAAGCACAAGAAGGGTGAGTGATTTTCTTACGCTACCATCAGCCACTCAGACTTCCATCGAGATTGACTCCTACTTTAGTTCTCTCACTTACGCCCATTTCGAGAAGCTGTGCATGGACCTGTTATGCAGCACGCTTGAGCCGGTCAAGAAGGTCCTCCAGGACTCCAAGATTGACAAGGTGGAGCGCCAAGCAGTATGGTCTTGCTAACTCCGAGATATTCCAGCATACTCCAGATGTATTCCTTGTATTGTTAAGCTCGTGTCTGACTTCAGACTGGTGGTGGTCAGGTGACGTCTGAATCTACCCCTTTCTATTTGCCCCCCTTTCAAGAAACTTTCGTTGTTGTCTACTACCATCACGACTCATCATGGGAATACGCAGACTATGGGAGGTGAGCTGAGATTTTCTTGCTGTGGGCTGCAGGTACTGATGTTCATCACAGCGAGTCACTTTATCTGCTGAAAACCGAACTCTCAAGGAACTCACAGTGTCAGAGCTGAAGACTGAAGATATCGAAGGCAACCACAAGCTCCAATTATTCAAGATTGGGATTGATGCCAGGTACATGCTTCTCTTCTTTTGTATGTTCATTGAACTCACTCATGCTGTTAGCCTGTGGATGCACAGCATCTGTACTGTCTTTCGGATCAATCCTGCAGGAGCCGGAAAGTCGCCAGAATTGCGGACACTGTTTTTTCGACTGCAGACACTGCTGAAGCTGCTGCTGCATGCAGTCTTTGTCTTTGATGGCCTTGAGCGCTTGCCAGACAAAGATCACAAGGTTAGGAGCAGCCCCCACTGGCTCACCCGTGACTTCCAGCGCATGCTGGAGTTGTTTGGCTTTCACTGGACTGAAGTACGTTCTCTCCTCTTATGATGTCGCCATCTCACCAGTGCCATACCAGGCCCCGAGTGAAGCTGAGGCAGATCTGGCTGCCATGAATGTCCATGGCATCATTGATGCTGTGATGACTGAGGACAGCAATATCTTGGTCTTCGGAGCTCTGTGCATTATTGGAAGGTATGCTGCCATTTTCCTGTTGATGTGCTGCCGTTGATTCTCGTCAGTGCGAAAAACAACAAAAACTATCTCAACATCCAGGTGTTCACGGAGGATGGCCTTGAACATGGCTGCTCATTAACCCGAGGAGACCGGCTGCTAATTGCCCTGCTTGTAGGTGGTGATTATGATGGTGGTGTGCCTGGCTGCAGTATTGAAATCACGCACAAGGTGGCACTGCACAGTAAAATCGGCCAGATGATGCTTGATGCCTTCCTCTCAATGACACCAGATGAATTCTCTGAGCAGGCTAAGGAGCTCATTGAGGATCTCCATACCCTACTTTCTACTAATCCTTACAATTCGCTTGAGCGCAGGTACAAGGCAGTTGCGGACCGCATTCCTCAAGGTTTCCCTCAGCATGCAGTAGTCAGCAAGTACATTCACGCTTTCACATCTTTGTTGGCCGGTGCAGCTGCATCGCCCTGGGACATCTCATTCTATCAACCAGATCTCGCGAATCTTGTGGACTTTTGCCGTCAGCATTTGGGCTGGGAGGATGATGCGATCATTGAGAAGATGTATGGAGGTATATGGGAGGGCACCTATCTACGTGTGCTATGCAAGGTAAGCAGCACTGTGCTCATGTAGGCAGCTGCTAACACTTGTGTTTTAGTTGCCACAGCGCTCACCAGACCAGGCAAACCTTCAGCCGAAGCTAAAAGTCCTTTCTCAGTCGACGCCTATGGCTTTGAGGCATGACATCGATGTTTACAACATTAAGGTTGACTGTTGGCGCTTGGGGTGTAATACTCTGGGAAACGCTACTCCTGGGCAGTTGTCTGCCATGTATATACATGTTCCAAAGGTGATACTCCAGCACATGGTACCAGAAGCGGTACAGCAGTATATTAGTCTATAAATTGTTGGTATAGCATTAACACGAATCTTAATGTCATTTGTGGTCACTCTCACACGCTGAACTGAGTGAAACGTGAGATGGCATTGAATACAAATTAGCTAGAGGCCCCTAACATAATCTCTATCCTGAAAATCTAAACTAGCTTCATACCACACCACTCGCTTGTTTTGCGCTCGCAGAACATGACACGGCTAAAGAAAAATTCTACTGAAGACAAACAGCCACCAGACACCATTCACAAGCAAAAGAAGAGATCGGCTGCTGAGAAGACAGCATTAGCAGATGTACAGAGGTGTAAGGAACATGGTATCAAAACTCACCTTCAGGCAAGCAACATGAGGACAAACTATGCCAGGCACGTTCATCATGGACGGGAATGGCTGGCAAGCCACTTTGAAAGTTCTACTGTCAGTGAGACTTGGAGGGATGACATCTTTCAAGGCTCACTCGTTCCGCTGCTCACAACTGCCTAAATAACTGCCGACAATGACGTGTATGAGGACCTTGCATTCAAAGATGCATTTGAGAACGTACCGAACAAATGCTCTGACAAAGCGCTCGCTCTGTACATGTCCCTGAAAGGATTCCACGAGAACCTCAGCAAAACTACAGTCGAGAGCATCCGTTCAGCATTCAAGAAAATGTGGGAGTTATCGTGAGTACATACATGAACATGAGCACATGAGCACTGACCTATGTTTAGAGATGGTGATACCTATTGTGGCAAATGGCACTTCAACGAGGCGAAACAGCACTGGGAAGGAAATCCTGCCGATTCTGCAGATATCTATGATGTGCTGTCGTCCATCAAACATAAGGCAAGTGCAGAGGGTGGAGATCAGACTCACTCAATGGTGATGACGAAGGACTACATGGATCGGGCATTCCGATGGCACCAGGCTGCATGTCCACTGGATATTGCCCTGCAGATGATTGACAAGGTGATGAATGGCGCTTGGCCGTCAGATATTTGTCTAGACTTATAAATGAGAACAAAACTCACCCGCCATCTTGAGCAAGTCACATTCACATCAAATGGATGGACCTTATGGACAAGGTGCGATCCTGCTTGTTTGTGGTCCATGCACGATCTGACTTGCATCAGCAGGTGTTTTGAGCTCATGAAACTGCAACGGAAGGACATCTCACTCGATACTATTGTTCTGGACGGTGTGCTCAAGACGTACCTTGCAAATGAGACACTAACACTGAGTAAGTGCACGCCATACTTTGAGATCTTTCTCGCGAACCAGAAAGGATGGCAGTGTTATGCACTCAAATAGATCTGTTATGCGGAGCCCTAAGAGGGGCGTTGTCCGCTAACGTTCGTGATGTAACTGGAAGGGTCCGGTGTAGCGACTGAGACTGGCGACGATGAGTCGGCAGATATCAGAGACGTGCGTGTCACATGACTTCTAAGACGGATGTCTTCAAAGTCACTGACGTTCTCAAAGTAAGGACAGTCTTGTCCGAACGATGAGTAGTCGATCGAGGTAGACTTAGGCGCGATGAGCACCTAAGGAAAGATACTAGAGACTGAAGCTGAGGGGGCTTCAGAGGGAAGTATGTCGAGGGAAGATTGAGTAGATTCAAGTTAGGGAATCTAGTACAGGGTGACCGACTACTTATACTAAGTGGAAAGGGTTAAGGGCAGGGCTACCGTACTGTAGGTACGGGCAAAGGGGAAACGGAAAGGGTATAGGTACGCTGGTAGCAGAGCCTGATTAGGGATGTGAGGTCGAATGCGGAATGAGACCGAGAAACGTTGGAACGAGCCAACGGTAAATGATACAATGCGCAGCACGCATGAGTCAGAGGAAAGATAAGACAAGATAAGGAAAGCCACATTGGTGGCATGAGTCAGAACGAGTCATAGCTCGAAGGCACGTGCGCACGTTGGTGTGAGAGGAGGGGGATGAGGGACGGGAACGGTCCCGAGGATCCGGTCAACGGATAGTCGGTAGAGAAGTATGAGCCGGAGGCATACGAGGGCGAGGACAAAGGGGAAAAATGATAGGGGGGCCATGTAGCCGATGTGACTTGTAACACTTGGAGTGTCAGTGACAAATCCAAAGTACAAGACTTTTCCACCGGTATTGTTTCTTGGAATGCAGGAAGACTTGTCTTTGAAGACTGTGTTCAGAAACTGGGAGCTTTTGGCTAAGGTAGGCTTTTCGGCTGTGTATTTTTGTAAGGCCAATGGGAGGTGGACTTAAGATGTGAGTTGCTTGTATCAAATTGGAGCTGATAGCGCGTGACTTAATGACCTTACCAGCAAATTATTACAAGATTTATCCATGGCCTGATGCACCAGCGTGCGACAGTTTCTTTTGGACGATGATTTGGATCAAATGGCTCGAAATATTTCATTATGGGCGCACCCTCCTGCCAAACGACTTCCTCTTTCCTGCCATGAGTGTAAATGGCATTATGCATCCTGGACAGCCGATCTCTCACAATACTGTACAAAAATGGATCAATGAGTCTACTACTGACGCTGGAATCCGTGGTAACTTTTCAACTCACTGGTTTCATTGGGGGGGTGCACAATATTGGTTTATGTTCACTCCAGTAGGTCAGTGGTGGATGCTTGCTAAAGTTTGTTGGTGGGGTGGATGGGCTGATGGCGAGCATGTACGTTTCTTGTGCTCACACCTGATGCTTCACTGACACAGCTGTTTTTTTTTCTTGTCATGTTTATTTTCAGCATGACACACTCGTTCACTACCTTCTCGACGAGTTACACGCATATGAAACTGACTATAGCAATGCCCTTTCTCCCATCTCTCGTGGCGCTGATGCCTCTCTTGCTGGTGAACACGCACTTACCAGACCAGCATCCACGGAAGAGCTTCACATGGTGCACACATCTGTCACTGCAGATGTCAACAGCCTGTGCAATGACATGTGCTCCCTAACAAGTGTTGTAGTGCAGGCTGCCTGCAGCACAGCAATTGCCCTCCAACACCTCGATTCAAGCCACCACTTTACCAGTGTCTCTGAGTGTGCCTCCCATACAACAACTCCACCATATACCACTCAACCTGTCAGAGGAGCACCCACCACAGCTGAACGGCCACTCTCACCCAGACCCATTGTCAGCCCAATGCCTACCATGGCCCTATCCACCTTCAGCACATCATGACGGCCCCGAGTCCCCACCATGGCATCCAGCTCACAAAAACTCCCTACACCTGGCCTCGTGATCCCTCGGGTTCCAGTCGCTCATCCCAATGGCACTTCCAGCCCAAAGAACAAATCCTGGAAGGAAATCGTCGAGCACTGGCTTGTTGGCAATCGGGACCAAGGACTGACAATGCCGTTGAAAGATTGGCCAAGGGAGTGGTACCAAGGCGCCAATAGACGGTTCGCGTCAAAGTACCACCAAAGGGCGACCATTGCACTGGAATTCATCAATCAGTAAGTCCCTGCTGTTATCCGCTATTCCAGTACTACTCACCTTCTGTCTTGCTTCCAGGTACGAGTCAAATGAGGTGCATTTCCTTGCAGCTTATCCAGAGGCTGAGCTTGGCCACACACAACTTCTGAAGGCCGTGAACAAGGCACACGCTGCATGAGGGGACCGCATCTCTCGCAATAAATGACACTTCAGCTGACAACTTCCTCGTTTCACTTCTCAAGAAGAACATGGCAAAATGTTTCGTTGCTGCATACCAAGAGCACGATGGGCAAACCCATTCGTCTATTCTAAGCTGCTAAGGTGCACAGGGTTGGATCTGGGTGAGAGCTGGATGAGAGCCAATGAGGCTTTTTTTTTTTTTTTTTTGATCCAATTTATGTCTATGTGGGGTACAATACCCTATGTAAGACAATTCTAACTAGGAAAATGGGGGACTTCCTAGTCCCCCGCCGCTGAAGGTACAACAATTCAGATGGTGAGTCTGAACAATGTGTTGGGTCTTGCAGAACCTAGCTGCTATTCGACCCTAAAGGGTTTCTGGACCAAGCTCAAGGCTCAGAGAAGAGGAAATATCATGAAAACTTGCTCAGCACTCAGACTCATACTGGTAACTGGTGAAAAGATTGCTTGCTTATGTAAGCTACAAAAGTGCCAACATAAGATAAGGTAAAAACAGTCTCTACAAGCCCAGCCAGAAACGAATCCCTATACCGCGTCTCCGACTTCGCAAATGCCCTGGGGGAGGGGTGACCTCCCCCAGTCCGCCATTCCCACCAGCCGTTTTAGATGCGCAAGTCTTCCAATCTGTGGGACCTTTGCTGTACAGTTCGTGGTGGGTGGGTCCCTGATGTTGGCTGTGGATGATACAAGTACTCGGGTGTGACACCGTGTATGATAGGAATGATGGAGTGCAGACTGTAAAGTAAAGTTTTTAGGTGCTGGTAACCTCGTTTTGCTGGCACCTCCAGGTTGGTCTGTGTGGGAGGGTGTTCGTTTGGGCAGCAAGCAAGCAAGGTATTCCATCCCTCCTCCTTCTTTCTGTGAATGTCCTTTCCTCTAACTTCTTCTAGTTTAACGCTTCTCGTGTTCTCCATTTGGACTGCTGATAGTCCGAGTCCCATCATTGTCGAGTAGTGGGTTAAGGTCTGGTGTCCTGCACCCAGAGGTTTCCTTAACCGTTGTGGGTCTGCTTGGGTTCTTACTATGGTACGCTAAAGAGATAGTCATCGTCTGTCGTCATTTAGTCTTAGGAGAAACATCACCAAATATTGACCGTAGGTGGCCCATGCTGTTAACATAGCGAATGAGTGAGGCACTTGCTTTGGGGTTGGACAACAGGAACGACATGGAGGAAGCGCGACAATGGTGGGCAGTGGTGAGAATGTGTCGCGCTCTCGCATACTGGGGGCATGCAAGTAGAAAGTGCAGTACTGTTTCCCCAGTGTTTTCACAGTGCAGACAATTGGGAGAGGGACTTTTGCTGATGTGATGAAGATGCTGGTTGAGAGAGATGTGCTTGGTGCAGAGCCAGATAAGCATGCTGATATGTCGTTTCGGGAGGTGTTGGGCTAAGGAGATGAATGATCCTTTGAGTATGTCAGGGTCTAAGTTGTCAGTATGATGGTATTGGGCTGGCTTTCACCAAAATCTGGCCCAATGCTCAAATGACTCGTGCTTCTGTGCTTTTTTCAGCGCGGATATACTGCTTGGGAGCACCCCTTTACGAAGATAAGGAGGGAGGTGCCTTCTGGGGCTGGATTCCATTTGTGATTTGGCTGCTTGTTTTGCCTCCCTGTCTGCTAATTCATTCCCCTCAACTCCATTGTGTCCTGATATCCATCTAACCGTGACTTCGAAATGGCGGTCTCGGCTGGTTTTCTTCAGTTTCATTATCATGCTGCGAAAGTGGTCTATCAAATAATGGCCTGACTTGGTTGAGAGGACTTCACCGGATTTGATCGTGGCTTGGTTATCCACGAAGATGGAGACAGGGTAGGTGATATCATCTTCCATAGAAAGTAATTGCGCTGCTAATGTTGGTCCAACTGCCTCGGCTTCGTATACGGTGTGGTCATCTGTAGAACCCAGGTGGTAGCGCAAAGTCTTTGGTTGAGCCAATGAGGCTTACCACTTGCTTCCGGCTGTAGTTGATTATAATGTCCACTACCTTACTCGCTGTTGTTAATCACGAGCGCTGTGCTCCTTTTTGTGCTCTGTTTTTCAGTCAGAACTCATGCCGTCACACGAATCTGGTCATGTGCCAGTGAGGTCAGTGAATCCCGCCTCAAAAAGGTAATTGATCGGTGTCACGTGCCCTAGTGTGGCTTTTTGGCTGAGCGCCACCATAAATTTCTCGACATAAGTTTGCTTACGCAAGCCTTTCATTTTTACAATACCAAGAGGAAAGACTGAAGTACTTCATATCCTATTACATAATCAGTCTCATGTGACCTGATGGCACATTTTGACAACCATGTAGAGCTTCATTATGACAAGTATGCAAGACCCACACTATGGTATTTAACAAGTTAACATCAGATTGCAACAAAGTTTGAACAAAGCTTTGAGTACAGCATTCAGGTAGTGCAGAGGCAGTGTACACAGCTTAATACATAGCCACAGAGCACAGCCACTAATGATGACTTGAAAGATTCTAGAATATTCCATTAGATACCACTGGAGTTTGGTGGAATAGTCTGGAAAATTCTATGACATTCTTTGAAACTTTAATAGTAGATTAGTAATCAGTAGTATAGCCACTCGTAGAGTAGTATATAAGGGGCTCATTTCCCCTCTAATAGAAGAGCTCCCAAGTTATCAGAGAGCCCATTTTCTTGTATTACCTAAGCTTGAGTGTGAATGAGTGATTGAAAATAAGAAGAGTGATCATAAGGCTCTTTTTAGATTCTCACTTCTAAGATTACTGAGTGACACTGAGTGAAATATTAGCTTATTTCATTCCACTTTTTGACACTGTTTCCCACGACATACAGAAGCACATTTGAGGCCACCATTGAGCCATACTTTTTACACTAGCTGGTACATGGTTATCAGTCGTCTAGTGCAATATATTCCAGTTCTCTTTCAGACACAGGAAATTGATTCTGTGGGGAGAATATACATATTTTCATTAGCAAGGGAAGACAAATAAGACTAACAGTCAGTCACTAATATTAAGAACTTGGCCATTTAAGACTACATCAAGAGGGTGTACTCTGTGGTTTCGAAGTCACGTATTAGTTTGGGCTGATCCGTGTTAGAGGCTTAGTTTGATCTCCAATTGGTTTGTGAAGATAAGGAGTATTGATATAGCTCTGAGAATCATCGCATAGACATACATCTGTATTCATTGAAGTCATAGCACTGCATCGTGCCAGTTATTGACTTTCTTTAGGATCATAGCACTGCATCAAGCCAGTTACTGATTCTGTTCCCCTTTTAGTCACTGAGTACCTCCTTTGAAAACTCAACACACTTTTCCCATGAACAACCACGTTATCGACTGTTGGTATTTGTCTGAACCATTGACCGTGGTAGGATACTGAAAATTGGTAAATTTTACTGTTTTCACATCCTAGTAAGACAATGTGCGCCGAATACCTTGAAGATCTCATCCTCCCCTTCTGACCTCACAGCATTCACCCATGTCACACCCACCTTAGACTTGTGGCATGCCCACCTTGGTCACATCGGTGGAGAGTTAGTACACCATTTGCCTTTGTTTTCGGCGGGAGGAACTGTATCAGCAGGGGCGACTTTATCCAAATGCGAGTCATGCATCATGGGTAAGCACCCTCACCCTCCTTCTGAGACTGCTCACGCGTCTCGATTCCTTGAGCTCATCCACTCTGACCTTTGCGGACCGCTTCCCATCATAACTCCCCACAATAAATGTTACTTCATCGTTTTCCTCAACGATCACACAAACATCTTAAACTTGCAACTTCTCACGTCAAAGGATCAAGCCATTGACACTTGGCGTCTCGTGCATGCTCGTTGGGAGAATCAGTCTGTATTATGGGTGAAAACATTCCGGTCAGGCAATGGGTGTGAGTTTCTAAACGCACCTTTCACTAAGGAGCTTGAGGAGGCAGGAATCGTGCGGCAGCTATCAGCGCCATATGCGCATCAGCAGAACGGTAAAGCTGAGAGAGTTATACACACCATAGAGGGACATATGTACGCAATGCTTGATCACACCCGTCTCCCTTGCAATCTCTGGAGCAAAGCTGCCCTTTGCGCCACCTATCTGTTCAATCACATGGAGTCTCGCTCCCTCCTACCTGGTGTAACACCTTATGAGATGCTACATGGCGCAAAACCTGACATCTCGCACCTTCGAGTATTTGGGGCGAGATGTTTCGTACACATACCAACAGAGCAGCAGGAGAAGTTAGGACCACGCTCACGTGAAGCCATGTTCATGGGCTATCCGCCTGGTGTAAAGGCGTGGTGATGCCGTGACACCATTACAGGAGCATTTTTCAACTCTAGAGATGTGATTTTCGATGAGTTATTTTCAGGTCGTCCCTTCCCTGACATTGACAGCGATGATGACGACGACGACACTGTAGTGCGCCTGCAAATCATCGCACCTGTCATACCTCATGCTCCTCCTCCACGTGCTCCTCCCACTCCTCCCTCTGCACCTGCATGTTGATCAGGAAGAATGCACAATCCCACAGAATGTGGACGTCAGTACTGGGAACAGCTTGAAGCTGACACTGTCCGTTTGCAGCATCAGTGTGACCTACGGTTCGCTCATGTACATGGCACGCCACCTGCAGATGATCCTACCGCACCCGTGCCTCCCATTCCCGTTGCCACTCATCCCACACTCTTACCTGCGCACTCTCATCCACTTGCCGATGACAATGATGTCTCTGATGCTGGTGGTATTCACACAGACACCAATACCGTAGGCTTTCCCCAAGCTCTTGCACATCTGATCGTGGCAGAGCAGGCCTGCATCTCCATTCGCAGTGACTCCCGTCAAGATCCCCAGGCTCCTAACTACAACATGAAGATTCCTCCTAACACCTACAATGAGGCCATGCATCATACAGACCGTGACTTCTGGCTCGCCGCCATGAGATGGGAGATGAATCTAATGTCGGAGATGAACATTTATGAACTCATTCCTCTCCTGGAGAATCA